GGCCGGAAGTCACAGCAGCTGTGTTAACCACTTGCATATCACGGCACACTTGCCATTTCCAGAGTGCAGTCTCCTGCAGCTGCAGCCCCTGCAACCTACCTGGGGGTGTGGGGAGGGTGTGCTTATATGCCCTACAAGTCCTGCTCAATGCAAATGAAGTTTCAGTGCAGTTCTGATTGGTGGGATGTTTGTCAAGCGGTGATTGGTCAGATTTCATTTCTGGGCAGTCTCTGGCCTGCTGGGATGTGGTTTCACTTTCTCCTGCTGGCAGAGGGAAGGCAGGGAGGCGGCCCTGGCGGTTCCTGGGGCCCAGTCTCGGTAGCCTCTCTGCTAGGGCTCCTGCTTAGTCTCTTGGTTTTCTTTTCGACATTGTATGTCCAGTGGTGTACAAATGCGTGCTCAATTTCTGCGTGATTTTACCTGAAGCCTTACTTTTTCAATATACGTTTTTGTCTTTATGTTTCTAAGCAGAGCCTCTTTCAAATGGGGATCCTGCACTGTAGTCTGATCTGCTCGTGCGTCTTGTGCTCGCTTGGAGGCTGCCAGCCTTGCACACACCCTGCTCGCAAGCCCCTCGTGACTGAGAATGCAAGTCTGTGGGAACAGAAAAGGCCAAAGACAGATGAAAACCGTAACAGTGGTTTAACGTCTGAAAAATCGGCCCCTGTAGTTCCATATTTCGGTTGTTTTATTTCATTGTTTTCTAAACATTTTTGCCTAAATTAACCGTGGTTCTGTGATGCAGCCGATCTCTGGCACGATTGAGTGAGCATGCTTTGCCAGACTTAGTCAGTTTGACATTGTTCTGAGAAGTTGTTTAACAGCTGTGAAGCTGTAAGGTAGAGAGGAGGAGGAGACGCGGGGGCTGGGAGAGTGGGCCCGGCAGAAGCAGGGGCAGCGTGGCAGAGCCTGCTCCCCCATGTTGGATGGCGGGGCCCAGATCTGGCGTGCTGTTCACGCCGTCCAGACCCCACTCCCCGGTGAGGGTGGGGAAGTGTGATGTTGCTTAAGGACCCGCTTTCATACCTTCGTGTCCCTTCACCTGCTTCCACCTCACTGGGTGTATGGGTCTAGTGAAGAAATGCTTCTGGCAGCTCGCCCAGCGGCCTGCAGTCCTGCAAACCGCCGAGTGAACGCAAAGGCTAGTCATGGAGCGTCCGCCAGCAGCCACTGCTGCCCACCGTGTGGAGGAGACCCGGGGACAAAAGACGTGATCTGGTGCTCAAGCCACTTCCGTTCTTTTGAGCCAGTGAAGCTGCGGGTGTGATAACAGTCAGCACAGCTCCTCCCCGTGTCCCGCCTCACTGAGAGTGGGTCTCCGCTAAAATGCAGATGGGGCAGGAAGAAGACAGCGAGGCGGCCATCTTTCCACAATATAGTGGGATGTCTACAGTGATCCCACTATGTCCCATGGTTTTAATTCTTGTCTCTCCTGTCTTCATAAAAGCTGCTCTTTCCAAAGTCTCAGGTACCTCACGCTTGCCCAGTTTGGTATTGAGTACCTAGTATTACACATTATTTGGCTTTACACATTTCTTGTCTATAGCACTTGGTACTGTGGACCTGCTTTTTCTTGTTAACCTCTGCAGAACTCTGATTCTTCTGTTTCTACAGGGTGTGTGGCTAACTCTGACTTTCCCATGCCATATTGTGCAATGCTTGGCCTGAAGTAGGAGAGCAGGGTTCTTACCTGGTTGTGTGTGTATATGTGTAATGTTTGTGGCCTGGCCAGAAGTGTAGGTAGCACTTTAAATGCAACATGTCATCGCAGCGTTCCATTCGCTAATTCCCATTTCTGTTAACAGGCATCATTGTCCAAGCCAGCACACACCTCAGGGCCCTCTGGCAGCCGTGCAGTCTCTCTCTCTCTCTCTCTCTCTCTCTCTTTCTCTCTCTCTCTGTCTCTCTCTCACTGAGAAGTTCTTTCACCCAAGCATACTTTCTCCTACTATCTCTGTTTTTAAGACTTAGTGCTTCAATATCTTTTTTAAGTGAAAGAAGGAAGCAAATCTGAAGGTGCTGAGCACTTTTTCATTATGCTGTCTTCCTAGAAAGTAACCAACAGATCAAAAACTATTCTGTTCAAAAAGAAATAGGTAACTGCATGAGGTACTGCTTCACACCAGGATGGCCACACTCTAAAGGACAGGTGTTGGCAAGAATGTTGAGACATTCGAACATGTATGCACTGGTGGGGGGGACGGCAAGTGGTGCCACTTTGAAACCCTCTGGCAGCTCCTCAGAACATCAGGCAAAGAGTAGTTTAGGACCAAGCAGCTGCATTTGCATAGGTATAATACCCAAGAAATGAAAACATGTCCACACACATATTTGTGTACTGTATTCTTTGAAGAATTACTCATAGCAGCCAGGAAATGAAAGCAACCCGAATGTCCACAAATAAAGAATATATGAATCAAACTGGAAACGCTTTGCCAAGTGAAAGAAGTCAGGCACGGAAGACCACGTCATGGGGATGCCGCTTAGACGGTGCGGCTGGAACTGGGGGCTCCCTGGAGACGGAAAGCAGGCTGGCGATGGGCTGCTCTGAAGTGGCGCCGCTGGGCTGTGGCTGCCGTGTGCGCAGCAGCTGTTCTTAGAGTCGTGGAAGTGTGCTGCGGTAGTGGTGACGGGAGCTGCGAGCATGCTCAGCCGCTACCCTCCGCGTGGGCGGTTGAGCTTTAGAGTCCACGAATTCCACGTCAGTGAGGATGTTAAGGCGTGGACGCCTGCACACTGCACCGGCAGAATGAAGCGGCGTCCTGGACTGGATCCTGGAACAGAAACGAACATGATCGAAGGCATCATGAAATTTCCAATAAAGTCAGAAGTTCAGTTAGTAGCAGCACGCTGGGTTCGCCCTCTGGGCCTGGCAGAGGTCCGCCGTGGCACGAGGGTGTGGAGCCTGGCACAGAGGAGCGCGCTGCACTTAACCTTGCAGCTGTGCTCATGACCTAGAGTTACTGACCAAGAAGTTTATCAAAATAAACCTACAGGCCCTCCCTGGGGGCGCAGCGGGTTAAAGCGCAGCACTGAGAAGCTAAAGCCGCTTCCGCATGAGTTCGATCCCCGCCTGCCCCGGAGGAGATCCATGTGGCGCGGCAGACCTCTCCTGACCCGCCCGCTGCTCCCCTCAGCAGTGGACTTCGTCGATCTGCCTGTTCTGCTCCCCGCTCTGTCTCTGGTGAATCCTCTCACCCTCCACATCTCTGGCCTGTACCCCAGTTCTGTACGAATAAATAAATAAAAAAAAACAAAAACAAAACAAAAACAAAAAATAAACCTACAAAAATAAGTAATACAGAATCGTCAAAGTCCAGGAAACTACAGGTGGCTCAGTGTGAGTCCTAGTGTCCCTGATCGTCAGGCATCACCGAGCAGCTTAAAATTGAAGTTTATAAGCGTATAAGCCGGTGTTACTTCAATTTTTAAAAAGCAACTTTTAAATACGAAATCGGGTCAGAGTTTCTCACCTCACAGTAATGGTCTGTCAAGCGATCTTTGACCGCCACTTGTGGAAACAAGGAGGCTCCTGGAGAATCGTCTGCTGACGTTAATGTTTTCTCTGCTGTCGCTCAGAAATCAGTATATTCAGTTATAGTTTTGGTCTCTTACCTCTTACTTTAACTTTTTGTATATAGTTTCTACAGTGAGAATCTAAAAGCCGCTTCTGCATGAGTTCGATCCCCGCCTGCCCCGGAGGAGATCCATGTGGCGCGGCAGACCTCTCCTGACCCGCCCGCTGCTCCCCTCAGCAGTGTGCTTCGTCGATCTGCCTGTTCTGCTCCCCGCTCTGTCTCGGGTGAAGCCTCTCACCGCCCCTGAGCCTCTGGCCTGTGCCCCAGTTCTGTATGCACAAATAAATAAATCTTAAAAAAATATATATTTTTTATAAGTTTTTTTAAATATTTGAAGTTTTCCCAGGTAACTTTGTTTTTGGTTTCTAATTTAATACCACTGTGGCCAGAGAGCATACTTCATGATTTTGATCCTCAACGCGAGACTTGCTTTGTGCCTCAGAACACAGCTTTCTTGGAGAACACTCCGCGTGCCTTGAGAGCTGACTGCCAGCTGGCTGCAAATCTTGTCTGTCCCGGAGCCAGTTACAACAATGTTTCCTCAGGTCTGCTTGTCTGCTTGCTGACTTTGTGTCTCTGTGCTTCATCAGTGAAAAAGGACTACTATAATTTATAATGGCAATTTCAAAAATCATTCTAATTAGGTATTACAGTGTTCAGTTGGGTGGTGCTTGGAAGGCTAGTGAAGAGCTCATGGTGGCTTACACTCACTACTGCAGCAGCCCTTCTCAGGCTGGTCATTCTTTGGATAAAGGTCATACAAATTTTTTGCAGCTCTTGTGGAGGTTAAATTAGATGTTACACAGAAAGTTCTTAACTTGCTATCCAGCATACAGTAGATCTTGAATAAAAATGTAGTAGTTGTTTCAATTTTTTTTTAAGCTGGTAAACAAGCATCAAATATGTAGTTGCTATCCGGTCGATTTTATTTAATCTGCTAGCTAGCTGCCTTTTACTTCATTACAGATCTTTTTTCTTACTGCTATTACACCCAGCTTTTACTGACATTTATTTTTTTAATTAATTACATTTCAACTGAGGTATTTTCTGGACGCCCTCACCAGGTCTGGCCACTTAGTACACCCACCAGGCACTCACCCCGTCCTCCACCATAGTTCACTGTGCTCCCTTCCCTCATCACTCTCACCCCTACCTCGCGCCCCGCCCCCCCCCAACCCCCACTGTGGACACTGTTTCTGTAACCGTTTTCAGGGCTTGTTGTTAAGCTTTATTGACAGTCTCTTTACAGGCTGAATTCAGTCTCGATCGCCTCGCTTGTACTGTGACATAAATTTGCCCACCTTGCAATAAGGTGTTAACGGGAAAAATGGAAGTGTTGACACAGTGGATCTACTGTGAGCTGCTAGCAAGTCATCTCCCTCCATTTCATTTCTGAAACTTGATCTGTTTTGTTTCCTTCAGATCAATCGCGAAAGCCGGTGCGCAGCAGAGACTTGCCCCGACACAGCAGCCCTTGCGGCTCCCCCAGAGAGCCCAGGTGAGCAGGGGTTTTCCAGCTTCCGTTTGTGTGAAAAGTGGCTCGTGAAATGGCCGTTTTCCGGAGCCATGGTCTTCCTCTGATCACTGGCCATTAGACTCCACGATCAGTCTGTCCTTCCTCCCCAGTGTCAGTAGATCAGAGGAAGAGGGGTCTGTAATTTGGGTTTGTCGGCACTTTGTCTCCTGTGGAAAATGAGAGCACCTGTGAGGTCATTACCCGTATTTGATTTTAGCTGCAAGTGTTCATTTCCGGCGTTGTGGTCTGTTACCTCACCTGTGAAGGCATGACACCTTGCCTTGCATGTTCACGTGGTAGCAGCTTCTCAACTAGTCAGGCTATGTGTTCATACTGTCAAGGACTAGACCTGGGACTCTCAGTTTCGGCTTCACATTGAAATTAACTGGGGGACTCTAAAGGTATGCTGAAGTCTGGTTCCTGCCCCCACGCTTCTGACGTAGTGGGCTGAGGTGGGACCTGGTGTCAGCATCTGTAAAAGCCTTTCACGGTTCTCCGGTGCAGCTGCAGTAGAGCGCCATAAACTTGGCAGATTGTCAGGACGGGTGTCCGGGGAGCGGGGCTGGGCAGCAGTCACTGCACAAAGCCACATGCTCTCAGACCCTGCCTGGTAGTGGCCCGGGGCACACGCCTTCAGGCGGTCAGGAGTCCCCTATGCGCAGATGCTCACCTCATGCTGTGCAGAGGGTTCCTGCTACCTCCCATTTCTGCAGTGAGGCTGGCCTGCCTTCTGGGGGTTATGCCCCGGGGACCCGGAGGGTGACTGTCCCCTTGCTGGCCCTGCAGCCGAGTGGTCTCCCAAGTCTGCTTTGCGGCAAGGCCGCTGTTTGCCTTCCAGTTCTTTCTTACCCACCTGCTTTTTGAAAATTACTGAGTCTTCATTACTGGCCTTTTCACAAACACTTACCTTTGGGTGCCCTGCAGAAATACAGCTGCAGACAAACCACGGAACTCTCTGCCTGCAGGAAGATTTCCTACTGATCCTCAGCTCTCTGAATTCACTCCAAAGGAAGTGTTGGAACAAATACGAAAAATGTTCTTTCCTATTTTTGCCTGACATAGAGATGTCATTAAAGACTGCCTCACTCTCCATGTGTAAGCTTGGCCAGATGCACAGATCTGGCTGCCACTTCCCTCCTCCAGCCCCACAGACTCTCCTGCTTAAAGGTGTCGACACCTGCAGGCTTGGTATCTGCAGCCACTGGGGCTTTGTCTGCGGGCTCAGTCACTCCAGCCACCAGGCAGTGAAGCTGCTGCTCATAAAGGTGAATCAGTGGCCTTACCGTTTGAATATTCATAGGAAGCTTCTTTGTGTTACAGTCTTTTTCTCATTTAAAGGAGTGAGTTTCGAACCCTGAGCCTTTCCCCCAGGGTGTAGTCTTGAATTTTGTTGATGCCTCCCACAACGCTCTCCAACCTGGACATACCTTTGTTCTTTTTAGAGTGATTTTTTTTCTTTCTTTCTTTCTTTCTTTTTTTTTTTTTTTTTTTCAGTTAAACCGCAGTTTAACAAAATCATGTTCTGGACTGTGCTTCTGAACCTCAGAGCAAAGACTCTGATTTCAGATAACAGATTTTTATGAATTATAGGTACTTCTGATGTTGCAGGCTTCTGTCTTTCACTTGTGAACACAGCTGCACAGCTGGAGAGCAGTAGGGGTAGACCGAGTAGGATAGCATCTCTCAGAACCTTGCTGCCTCGTCTTCGGTTCCGGACAACAGACAGCTACCAGCTAGCATCTTGGCCAGCCCGTGCGCGAAGCCCCAGCCTGCTGCTGCCTGGTCCTCCCCCGCCAGCTGCCTTTGTCTGCATGTGTGTAGTTCTGAATCCAGGCAACTAGATAGCATCTTTAAAAGCGTACGTTTTGCTGGTTTCTGAAACTAGTGACTCAGGGCCCAGAAGCTGCAGACAGATTTACATGTGGCCAGAGAGTGGGCTGGCTCCCCGCACCGTGCACACTCCCAGCGTAGAACATTCTTAGCTGCGCCTTGTTTTCTGGGTTTGGGAACGTTATTGCCATTAATTTGTATGGACAAGTTTAATGCCTTCCCAGACTGAAAATAACCTACCAGATCACACACCACCCAGAAGCATTCTCTTGGGTGGGGGGTAGGGAGAAGGAACCCAATGTGCTGCTCGGCACTTGGGAAGTTACAGGAAGCCCCAGCTGCGTCCTGAGGGCGGAGCCGCGGTCACCTAGTGCTTGGGTGTGTTCGCTTCACATACAGCTTATTTTGGTGGCCGCCACAGTCACTTCAGGGAGCTACCAGTCTCCCGTTTCACTGCCGTGGAGGTGGAGAGGAGGGTGGGATGGCTGCTCTGGATCCTTGGTCTGAGAGCAGTCGCGCCTCATCTGACCCCAGCTCTGACTAACCTGGAGCGTGCCACGCTCACACCCGCTGCGCTTCTTCAGGAAGAGGGGGGCTTCCCTTCATTTTGAAAGCTTGACAGAGGCGCTGTAGCCTTGCCTGCGTGTCTGTCACAAACACCCTCCCCACCTTTTGTGGGCACCCCAGAGTGCCCACAGGCCTCTCCTGTCCCTGCCTCACGGCCTGCTCGCTGGCCATCCTCTGCCATCCTCTTGAGTGGCAGCAGGCTGGTCCTCCACACTTGTTTGTGAATCTGTCTTCCGGGCAGGGGCTTCCTACTGGCTGAGCTGGGCCTTTCCCCTGAAGTTCCCATTAGAACGTCTCGAGCTGGTCTGTTTTCCAGCCTGGAGTTTGGACGTGGCCTGCTGGACTGCCAGCTGGGCCGCGCACAGCTCAGCACGGTTGCTGTGGCAGCCCTTTCTCTTCTGGCCAAACCGACTGACCCCTGAACCAAGGGGCGGAGTTTATTTTTCTAAGTGGGGGAAAGGGAATAAGTCGAAAGCTGACACCCACCATTCCCACTCAGCATATCCCCTCTGAGGTGTGGAACTTCAGTCCCTGGGGTAGCCGTGATTTCAGTCTTGCAGAGGCAGGGCTGCTCCCATCAAACTGACTCTCGCAAGTGCTTTGCCCTTAGCTGCCACAGGCCAAGGTCGGCTTTGCCTTGAGTGAGAACCTCTTCAGATTGGTCTCCGGGCTCTGCCTCACCTTCTGTAGCGTCCTCTGCGTACTTCTGAGTTGAAGAGTTGAAGTCGTCACTGTTGATACATGCCTTTCTACTGCAAGATTGTAAGCTCCTTTGTGTGTGTGCACCTGCTCGCTGCGCTCTCACACACGCTCTCTCATCTCTAGCCAGGCCCTCGTCACATTCCTAGTTGGTAGGAAGGTCATGTTACCGATAGGTGACTCGTGAAGTCTGCCGAGGGGGTACCCCCTGACCTCCAGGAGTCCCAGCTAGTCCAGGCGTTAGACGAGACTCTTTCCTCCACACGCATGCAGTTACTGTCCAGAAGAGACGCTACGGTTTAAGACAGTGGGGGCTACCTAGTCAGGCTGCTACCTGCTGTGGGCCCGCGCCACAGTGAATTTCTGCAGCTCCACTCACTGGGCTTTGTCCTGCCTCAGCACGTCGCAGACCTGCAACTGTCCTTAAGTTGTATTTTCTGCCAGCTCTCTGCAAGCTGAAGGAAGGGACCTCAAGTGCTATGGCCTCAGAGCCCGCGCACAGTTTTGTTTGTGAGGATTTCAATATAAACGTCTCCCAGGACCAAACACGCTTGTGCCGGTGTCTGGCACACGGCTGTCCTCTCTTAGATGTGTCCTCTCTGTTTATCGGGCTCTGTTTATCACTGGTTTTTGTTTTGACATCACTTTGTCAAGCCCTCTGGAATTTGCTCCCAACCAGAACCTCCAGGTGGTAGTCTCCTAAATTGTGAGGTGACCAGGCTTTCTGCTCATCAGTTGGGATTGCCAGCAGGTTTGATCAGCGGGTCTGTACATCTGTCCACATTACGCTTAAAGATGCGAACCAGGATGGAGATGGCCCGTTATCTTGAGCTTCTTGAAGCAAGTTGATAACTACCCTAATTGACTGTCTTTGGGGTATGGACAAGTTCATGTGTATGCCCCCCTTTCCCAATATTTTGATAAAAGTAACAAGTTTCTACAAAGAACTTAGATCTCTGGAAATAGATCACATTCTAGCCCATAGTTTCTGATTAACAGAAGAAACAACTACTAGGAAGAAAGTAATATTTAAACACCTAGATAGCAGTGGAAGGGTGGTTCTAAGTCATCGTTTTATCTTTTTGTTCTTAGGGTGAACGTGACCAGTGTGTCAGTGGCCTGTGGTGGCTGAGCCCACTGGGGTCCCAGCCCACTGGGGTCCCAGCCCACTGGGGTCCCAGCTGGAGCCAATCATGACCATGCTTGATAGCTGCTTGCTAGGATGCACGGGAATTGAAGTTTGTTAATGACTGGTTAAATAAATGTTCTTTTTCAGAGTGTGAGAACTTTCTGGATGCTGGTTTGGGCAGAGAGTGTACCTCAAATCAAGGGGTACTGAAAAGAGAATCTGGGAGTGATTCTGATCTCTTGCACTCACCTGGCGAAGACGTGGACAGCATCATCTTCTCCAAGGTGCGTCCACCTCAGCAGGCGGCTCCTGCAGGCCTCGCTGGCCTCTGGCTCCAGCGTGGTCTCCAGCGATGCAGGTGCTCTCTCTCGGAGCAGGGAGCTCCGGGTCACCCCTGGCTTAGACAAGGTGTCACCCAGTTTATTTTCGATAGAATCACGTGAGTTCTGAAGCTGACACTGAGACCCGAAGGAATGCAGTTCTTCAGTGTGATTGAAGTCAGATGCCAGCGATACTTCCACCGGGCTGGGCAGGGCCGCAGCCCAGACAGTGGGTGGTGTGTGTAATAAGCTCGCCGTGGCATCACTTCTTGGGGTGTTCACTGCTGTGCTGGGTGATGTCTTCCTCGTCTAGCCTGCTTGCTTGTAACTTCTGGATCTCTGCTGGGGAGCCCAGGCAGTCTCCCTGGTGAGAAGCCAGGTGCCAGTGATTCCTCACATGTTTTCGTGCTGAAGGCTCTCTGAGGAGTAAGGGGTAGGCACCGTTTGTTTTCTCTTGCTTATGTTTGTATCTGGTTGCAGCAAGTTCTGGTTTGTCTCCTAAGGAAAATAGAGGGTTTGCCCACAGCAGGATCAGCAAATGATGCTCAATTATAAGACCACAGTGGTTTTCTTAATCGCAGGGGGTGAAAGGGCCGAAGGACTGCGGTAGCTGTGAAGACAGCTTTATGGAGAGGCTTGGTGATGGCTCTGGAGAAAGCAGGCCTGGTGTTAGCAGCTAAGTCGGTTCTCTGAGGCGTTTGTCAATGCGGAGCTGACGGCCATGAGGTGGGGAGCCGACCTCTGGGCCTGGTCTGCAGTGTGTGCAGGCCTCTGCCAATGTCCTTCCAGCGCTTCCCTGTCACTCTGCCAGCAGCCCTTGGCCAGCCCTCGTCCAGTCCTTGTTCATTAGGGCCCAGAGGTCTTTGGAAAGATTTAGGGAGCTTCAGGGCTCCTATCATTGTGACTTACAGTGAGTTGACTCAAGGGATTTGTAAAGTAAAAAGTCCACGTACTGGAGGATCTAGTCTTCTCTGAAGTTACTTAGGAAAAGAGAAGCCAGTGGGGCTCTTTTTACTGACAGAACTTGGGTGATTTCCACAGTGGCTGGGACTCATCACAGCAAGGATCTGGAAAATGCCCCGCCCCAGGGGAATACCATTCTGCAGGACCGTGTCTCTAAAACTGCGCTGCGTTCTTTAAGCGACAGGTAGATCATAATCTCTGCCTCCCACATTGAAACCTGAATCATCGCTGATCCCTGAAACAGGGCCACGGGGACATGGAATTTGACAGACACTTGTGTGTGTCTGAAGATTTTCATAGTAAAAAGTTTTTTAAAAATTGGAAGGTCTTGTTTAAGAAATGCGTGCTTGCTCCTGCTTCCAGGTGCACAACACACTGTCCCTGGTGTCACTTCTGTCACCAAGTGAAGTGGCTGGTTTTCCTAGCTAAGGAGAATTGGAATTTCCTTTATTTTCTTGATCACTTCCAAAAGCATTCAGGAGTCGGTTGATAAGGTGGCTGGTGCTGGATTTAATCATTTTTTCGGGGTGACTAGGCAGATAATGTTTTCAAAATGGTAGCAAATGAGCTTCTCCCTGTATTTCCTAGCTGAGCGCTTAGGGAGCCCTAGAAATGTGAGTGTGCCCCGCCCTCTTCACACCAAGGTGGTCAGTGGCCAGGACTCTTCCTCTTCCTGCCGCCCCTCCCCCAGCTGTGTCACCAGAGCGGAGGCTAGCAGCCAGCATGTTCCCCAACACTGATAACACGGGGACACACCTGCGGAAGGGGGCGGGCGAGCAGCCCGCGGTGGCGACCGCTTGCTGGGCCAAGCCCAGGCAGCAGAGGCGTCGCCCGGGAGCCCTCCGCCTCCCCGCACGCCTGTGTCCTCGTTAGGCCCCGGGAGACGGTCATATTGGCGAAGGGTTTACGCAGAATTTCTCAGCTGTCCAGTAACAGAGATGAGACTTGTACCTAGGCCTGGCTCTAAATCTGTTCATTCTCTGGTTTTCTGCTCTCGGTTCCAAATCCGTTTCAACAGCCAGGGACTAGCGTAGCACCAGAGAGGCCACCGGCTGCTCCTTTAACTCTTCCTTGCAGTCACCCGCACAGCATGTGCTGCTCAACATTAGACATTCAGAGTTTCTTCCCGGGCTGTAGCCCTCCTCTCCTCCCCCCCGCTAAAAACTAATCTGTCGGCAGAGCATTGCAACATCATCTTCTGTGAACTGGGAGCTGGGATTAGGTCACTTCCTGCTGCCGCGTATGTGGCGCTGGGCTTAGGCAAGCCCGTCACAGCCCGCCCGCTTGCCACGCACTCAGAAACCCTGCGCCTCCCTCTGGCACGCCTCCTGCTAAGCCAGACTCTTGGGTGAGTGTTAGAAGCCTCATGCTTATTCTTTCAGACATTCACCAGTTCCTGACTTCTTTCTTTCCCTTAGTCCAGTAGCATCAAATTTACATGTTGTGTTTGAAGTGAGAAGAAATCCTGGTATTCTTTTGGCACGGGCTGGGGCTGAAAGTGTGATCAGCAAACACACATGATTTGGCCTGCCTGTCGCCCCAAAGACAAGAGTTTTACTTTGTTGCCTCTCTTCTTCCAAGAGCGAGAAGCCTGCAGCTGACTTAAACAGCCAAAGTCACTCTCCTAAGATGTGCAGCCTTAAGGGAGCGACCTCTCCTTCACGCCGGGAGCTTGCTCTCAGGTCCTCTGGCCACCAAGCCCAAAGTAGTGCATTTTTTTTTAACCTCTGAAGACACAAAAGTAAATATATCTAGACTCCAGTTTTTAAAATCTGCATATCTGCAAACATTAAAATAATTCAAATTTCAGAACTTAATTTAATTACTGATTTTTGTCATCATATACTTGGGATTCTTCCATGAAGTGTTACACATAAATGCACCAATATGGCAATTGGCCATATATTAGGAGTTTAATATGTGAGTTATTTCCCAAGCACATAGCAGGAAGTCTGATGTATAATTTAGTAGATAATAATTTATAAGTATTAGTGAATAAATGAATGAAAACTAAAGGCCTGAAAAGGGCACTTTTTGCTTACATACAGGATGGCTCTTTTTGCGAGGGTGTGTGTTTGCAGAATTTACAGACACTAATGTGCGCAGGCCCAAGGATACCGATGAGTGAGTGAGTCTTCCACCAGGTTTACTGAGTTGTAACTGACAGTTAAAAATCATACAGATTTCGGGTACACAGTGTGACGTGAAATGACCCTAAAAGGCTCACCACTGTGATCACCCCCAGTCGCACCCCAGAGAGTGAGATCTGTTCTCATAGCAAATTACAGGGGTGTTTAGTACTTTCTTAATGACTGTAGTCCCCACACATTGCACGAAGCGGCCAGGGTGTCTTCTCATAACTGAAAGTGTGCGCTTAGACTGCGGTCCCCATTCCCCACCACAACACACGTACACACACACACCCCTCGCCCCTGCGGCCCTGGTCACCACCATCCTCCCTGCCTCTGGGAGCTCCCCAGTTTAGAGTACACGTGGAACTGAGTTCACGTGTGTGTTGCTTTCTGTGTCTGGCTCGTCTCCCTTAGGACGACGTCTGCCGGGTCATCCACGTTCTCGTAAAGGCAGAATTCCGTGGTTTTAAAAGCCTGGATGGTATTTTCTTCCTCCGTTTGCCTGGTGCCGAGCACGTAGGATGTCTACATTCTTGGAAACGTGACTGATGCTGCCATTGATACGGGCGTGCAGATTCCTCCGCTGGACGGTCATCTTTCCATTCTCTGCATTTATGCCGGAAGTGGGGTGACTGGATTGGGTATAGCACTTCCCACTTCAGAATTTTCAGGCACCTCCTTATACTACTTGCCACAGTAGCTGTACCTCAAAGACTTTTGATTGATACAGTCACTTACCTTTGTGACCCAGGGCCCGGCTGGCCGTCTTCACCTCTTTGGGAAGTGTCCTCATGCCCCTTCCCAGCCTCCTCTCTCAACTTTCCAAAGGTGAAACGCTTCGACTTTTTTCCCGCCGCAGCTTGGCTTTCCCTCCTTCAGAACGCTGTGTAATTAGAATCTAAACATTAGCGCCTTTGGCAGCTGTCCAGGGGTGGGCTGCTGGGTAATCTGGCTGGCATAAGAAAGCGCCAGAGCGGGTCTCACCAGCCACACAGGAGGAGGCCTGTCGCCCGGCCTTCGGCGCGTGTGATGTTCGTGTCCATCTAGCCCGGCTTGCCGTGCGCCGTGAGTGAGCCGTGCGCGGACGTGACCGCCTTCCTGGCAGGCGGGGCTGTGGGAGCTCCTTCTCACGGGCCATCTGTCTCTCTTCCTCCGGGAGCTGCTGGTCGCCTCTCAGGCCCGCTGACCAGCACATTGGCTTGTTTGTCTTTCTGCCGAGGAGTGGACTTCTCTGTTCATCTCCTGGGTGCCAGCCCTTCGTTAGTTCCGCTCTGCACATCTTTTTCTCCCACCCTGTGCTGGCCTGTGGTATGCACAGCATGTCTTGAGCAGGACCCTGAGGCGTGTAGCTGCCCGCATTGCAGGGCCGCTCTGTGCTGTCCTGCTGTTGCTTTGTCCCAGTGGTGGTGATTGCTTTTTTAGGAGATTTGGTAGTTTTGGCTTTCACCTGTAGGACTAGGCTCATCGCAACTAAATTTTAAGCATATTAAGTGACCACTCTGTAGCTGCCCACAGGAGCACTGAGTGTTTGCTCCTCCTAGCATCGCCTAGAGAGATGCAAGATGGGTCCTTACCCCCACGCACTGGGACTAGAACCTTGAGCCTGTAAGAGAACCCCCTTCTGCCACCGTTTCTTTGTGTGTAAAATGGGAGCAGGCGTACCTGCTACATCAAGTGGTTGTGAGAGCTAAGTAACACATGTACGTCAGCCTCCTGTGGTGAGGGTGGTGTCCACCCATCCGTTGCTGATCAAACCTAGGAGTCGTCCTACTGCAGGCCATGGACTCTGTCTGGTCCCTCCAGGAGGAGGACAGAGCACAGACTGAGATCGTAGGCCCCTTCATAGCTAGCTGTGATTATGTTTAAAAAGGAAAATTCTGTTGGAAGCCACTTCTAGCCTGGCCTGCTCTCTCTCCCTCGCAGCCTGAGGAGGAGCAGCTGGCCTGCGATACCACTGGGTCCAGCTCGTCCACCGATGACACGGCCTCCCTCGATCGCCATTCTTCCCATGGCAGCGATGTCTCCCTCCCCCAGATCGCCAGTGTGAACAGATCCAGGCTTCATCAGAGCCTCGATGGCTTCTACAGCCAGGGGGTGGCAGCTGAGGCCCGAGAGAGCAGGAGCGAACCTGCTGGCCCAGGAGACGTGGAGGAGGAGGAGATGGACAGCATCACCGAGGTGCCCGCGAACTGCTCCATCCTGAGGACCTCCATGCGCTCCCTGTCCCCTTTCCGGAGGCATAGCTGGGGTCCTGGGAAGAACGCAGCCAGCGACGCGGAGATGAACCAGCGCAGGTGAGGAGACTGCTCTGCGCTCGGTCTCTGGGCGTCTGCTTGCTTGGGGTTCTTCTTGGCAAGAGATTTCAGGAGACACTGGTACAGGAGAAGTGCCAGCTCTGGCACCGGGCAGGTGTGGTCCAGCTGCCAGTCCTCTGGCCTCCAGTAGAAAACTTTGAGCAAATAGCTTGACCCCTCTGAGCTTTAATTTTCTCACTGTAAAATACGTGCCTTCCAAAATATCTGTAATCGTTAATATGATGATACTGCAAGTGAAATCTCGCTCCCATAGTGGTTGCTTAATAACGGCTAACATTTTTCCAGGCCATATTTGTCCATAGAATTAGTAGATTAGAAAAATACTGGGGGGATCATCACATGTCAATTTTGAGTTAAGGAAAGCATGATATCTTAGATCTTTCCAAGTGCTTCATAGAAATTACCATTTGTTCCTAGCCCTGAGAGTTTTGATAAAGTCTAGCTTACCAGTAATTTAACCTCACGAGAGCACAAGAATCAATAAATACCACTCAGTGTTGGTGTTTTTCCACGTACCGGCCCGTTTGGGGGCACTTTCAGAAGGGCAGCCAGCTTCGGGCCTTGGTTTGGAAGTGGGTCCAAGACGGGAAGTTGGATTTGGCTTCTGGCCCTTGGCCGCCTCGTGCGCCTCCCGGGCTGCTGTTAGAGACCGAGTGCCTGCTGGCCCTGCCAAGCCCCGCGAGCTTCTCCACGGCTGCGCCCCTCAGCAGGAGCGGGCGCGGCAGCTGTTCCTCAGCATTGACTTGACCCACCCACCTGGCACATTCGCCCGGTTTTACATTCCCTGACCTTGACCAGCTTTATGATATTGCAGCTCTGAGTACATGTAAGCCGTAGCATTCACGCCTTCACCCTTTTAGTCAGCCGGTCGGTGCCAGGCGTTTCTTGGCCCCAGAGACCCCGAGTTGCGCTCGGGCGAGCCTGTGGCTCGCTCTGCTCCTTCATTACGTCCCGGCCTTCTCCAAGCCTGAGCGTCAGCTGGTGGTACCCCCGTTGATGAGACCGGCTCAAACCCTTTTTCACTTACAAAGTCCCAGCCGCACCAGCTTTGAGTTCGTGTTCTGTGGGGAAGCCCAGGCCGCTAACCTCATGAAGGAGCCCTTGCTTCATGTTGGTAGTTTTGAAACACACTTGAGTCCTAGATCATAAAAGAAGCAGGCTCTCTTAAGAACCTTCCTGCTCAGCTTTATTTGGGCTGTACCTTTTTTTTTTAAGCCTCCACACCAGTAGAACAACTCGGGATCTGGGAGTGACCCCGCAGCAGGGTGCACTCAGCAGAGCAGCTTCTCCCAGGACGTGCTCGTGGTCTGGTGACAGCCTCCGCCAGGCTTCTCGTGTACAAGCCTGCTCATCTCAGACCTGCCCTGACCCCTTTGCCCTTACCGACCTCAGAGCCAGAGGTGACTTCGTGGGTCACGTCGCCTCCGTGAGGGACTGGAAGCGCGGATGAAGTGATCTGCCCGCGGTGACGCGGTGATTGCACCGAGGCCGAGACTGGCCGCCCGCGTTCCTCGTCGGCCCTCGCTGAGCTGGCGTCCCCTTGCCTCGCCCCTGGCGCCGGCGCCTCCGGAGGGTGGGGTGCGAGTTGGGCATCACTGCAGTTCGTTTGGCTAATCCTTGCAGTATTATCAGTGTGGCCTGAATTTTAAAGTCCAAAGAGAACCCTTTTCACGCTTTGGGACCGCCTGGGTCCTTTCACTTTAGCAACTGGCAGAGCCCCGCCCCTGGGGCCGGGGCGGCAGCGTCTCTCCCCGCAGAGACTGCCCGCACGTTACCCGTTGGTGCTGTGCGTGTCCCCTCTCACGCCCTCGCTCCAGTGCTGTTTCTCTGCGGCAGTCGCACCTCTCCCCACTGTGATGTCTGTTTCATGTATTTGCGTCCCATCTTGTATCACCTTGACACTGACCTCTCGCACATTCATTTTCAGTTCAATGCGTGTTCTGGGGGATGTGGTCAGGAGACCTCCCATTCATAGGAGAAGGTACAGAGTTTGCTAACTTGATGGACTAACCGTGCTGCCCTGAGCATATACTAACAAGCACCCCATTTGCTTAACCTGTGGCTAAAGAGCCTGCTCTTAAGTCTTGCCATGTCTCCTTCAAGCAAATAAAACACAAGTACTTAGTAAGTGCTGCTGTCCAGTCCATGTGAAACTGTGTCTTCAATCTGAAGATTTTCCTACTCTTTGACTTTAAAAAATATTGTTTTCCCCAAATACTGTTTTCAGCCAGCATTTTTTGGCGTTTAGGTCATTTCGATAACGGCAGCTCACCTGGATTTTTCTAGGCGAATTCGAGAGCTGTCTGTGTAGCTGTGAAATGGGCCCCGAGGCTGCTTTCCTTTCCAGAAATAGAGCCGGAGGCTGAATGCTGTGCTTGTGGCCATCAGTGTTTTCACCGCGTCCCTCCTGGGCAGCGGCAAGGTCTCCCCTGAGCCTGGCACTTGGGCCCCACGGCCGCGGGTGCCTTTCCGTGAGGCAAGAGGAGCCGTCAGCTCGTGGCTCTGAGGCCCTCGCTCAGCCTTTGAGGCCCCTTACCTTTTGTCAGAGAGAGTTTCAAAACTACTTTTAAGCTAAAATCTGCTTTGAATTACTCCAATACTGAATTCTGTTTTACTTTTGTTCGAAATCAGTAGTGCCTTTTTCTTCCATTGTTTGGGGAAAAAATTAGGAGTCAAATTAATGTTTAGACTGCTGTTAGTAACTCCTTTGGTGAGGAGATATTTGTAAAGAGGGCTTTTTAATTTAGCTGAAGCCGTTTGCTGGGAAGCAGACAATGGTGATTTCCCCCATTTTATTTTTTCAAGTGGATGCTTCCGCTAGTTCCAGACTTTAGGTACAAAGTAGAACTCAAATACAAATACCATTGTCACGAACCGCAGATAATCATGACCCGGGTAAGGTTCCAAGATGCTCTGTTTCAGCAGAAGAGACTCAAACCTTTAGAGATGACTTTGTCAGACTCTCTGTTTAGCTCTTCAAGAGTAGCCTGCTCAGTCAGGATCAGATGACTGTGCCGGCGCAGTCAGGCTGGTAGCAGGTGGATGCTGCCTGCCCTGTCGCCCGCTCATGTTTCTGTGGGAAGAGCGTGATGTGTAGTTTCACATTTGGTGAAATTAA